TCTTCGAAGCTGAGGGTGACCAATTAATCTTAGCAAGGCGGCCAAGAGACTTAGACATTCATCAGTATTATGCCCTGGCGATTTGTTATAATCACAGTACCGCGATTTGTCTAACTTCTTTTCCGGGATCGGGACAGGCTTGGGTTTAGGCAGAATACCTTTTCCTTTAAGCTCTTCATATATTGTGGCGGCCCCAACCGAATATACTGTTTGATACCCCGACATCAGGTCACTGGCATATTTCCTTCTTGCGGCTCGAATTTCAGGGTCGTTAGCATCACCTCTCGAAAAGCCTCCGAATTGAGTTTTGGCCTGTTTCCCACTGAGAGTTTTATTTTTCTTTTTGCCTTCTCCATTTGATCCCGATTTAGGTTGTTTCGAGGTGAAATTGAAGTTAGGGACCGACATGGATTCTTCAGCTATGACATGTTGCTGAGCTCGAGCTAAGAATTCTTGAAAAGTATGGGGTTTGTTTTGACACAACGTCCATCGGAAAATTGAGTTCGGTTTTAACCCAGCTATAGCCATAACGAGTAAGGTCTCTGGATGACAAAGGCTCCATGTTCTGAACTCGGTCATTAAATCGAGCGACATAATCTTTAACACTTTCATCCTCCTTCTGAGTAATATTAGCAATTGATTCCTTGGGAACCAAATAGACTTGGGCCCCTATAAAGTGAGATCGGAAAGCCGACCTCAACTGTTGCCATTTCCAGATTGAGTGAGGAGGTAAAGAATGGTACCATTTTTGAGCACGAGGTCCCAACTTGAGAGAAAACATGCGGCATCGGAGTGCGTTCAACACACCCTGAAGATCCATCCACGAAGTATAATGACCGAGGTGGGCGTCGGGATCCGATGTCCCATCATACAACCCAATTTATGGTACTTTAACTTTTCCGGGGACAGGTTCCAAGGTGAGTTCGGGAGCTAGCGGAGAATCAGCTTCCAAACAAACTTGTGCCGAGGTGAATGCTCGGCGCGGTATATCTTATTGCGCTTTTTGGCGACTTTCCAATTTGCCAATCTTTCTCTGCAAGATTTCCCACTCGGTTGAATCTTGTCGAGCCGACCGATTTCTCTCTATTTGTTGTCACAAGTCTGCCTACACTAGAGGTGTTTGGAATTTGAGGTTGCCTATTTGGTGACACCTTTAGATGTTGACCGGATTGACTTTCAGCGGTCATTTCATGATGTATGATAGGAGGAATATCAACGGCTTCATTATGACGCATTTCCCATTCCGGGTGTTGACAGGAGGCTCGACTTTGCGGTTGAGAAGTAGCATGTGAGGCTTCTTGTCTTTGAGTCTCCAGAATACGAGGATTATCGCGAGTTGGTTGAATAACAGAACGGCCGAGAACGGTCATAGACGTTCCGGGCAGAGTTTGGGCCACCAAGGCGGCTAAACTGCGAGCGAAATCTTGATTTTGAAACAGGATAGTATAATCCGTGGGGATAGGGATGGCAGTGGTCCGTCCGGCAGATTGATCATCGCTATGATTACTTCTAGATGCGTGAGCACGACGTTCAGAGTGCGACATAAGAAATTACAAAACTTGTTTGAAGATGAAACGAAGGACAGGTGATAGTTCTTTGATAGAAAGATGAAGGGTAACCCCAAATAACAGATGAGGCCCTCCTTCTAGCGCCAATTTGTTGTTATGTGGATTAGAACAACGGGTTTATATTGATGCTGGATCGATTTGTATGATTAATTAACGAAGATTGTGTAATAAAGCAAAGACGATGGCCTCGACCCGAGGTGAACCGAGGTGAAAGATGTTGGAGCTGTTTCGTGTATATGAAGAATAGTAGGAGTTCGATCCTTTTACAAGTGTAAGAACCAGCTATTTATAGTAAACTTTCTCACACTAGTTACGAGAAGTGTATGATAGCTTTTCTCATAAAGTAGCTTTATGGTGGGCGGCGTGTCAGCTCGGCCCACTCATAATCATGAAGTGGGTCTTGATTTGCGTAAGCATCATGAGGGCGTAATCACCAGCTTTGATTTTGGTGAGCTCGGTTTTTGGTTGACTCCGATATGTCGGTTTCGACCTCGGTTTGGTGCGGTCCGGATGGTTTTTCAAGGTTGGACCGAAGTGGTGCCACTTAGGGCTGTGCATTTACTTGGGTAATGTGGATTATCAAATCGGATGATAACAGTTAGAAAAAAGATAAAGAAAGTAGGGGATGCTTCCACCCACATGCCCACATGCCTACATGTTTCTTGGCCACATGCCTTAGTTACTTGCCCACATGCAGCTTGGCTACATGCAGTGGTAATGTATAAAAAGAAAATAAAAATCATTCCTCTATTATAAATAGCCCTTTCGGGCAGAAGAAAAATGCACTAAACAGAAGAAGAGAAAAAGAGAGGAAAGGAAAAGAAAGAGAAAGGAAAGAAAAGATAGATTTATGTCCAAAATATTGGATATAAAAAATATCAAAAGAGAGAAACAAGTGGTATTTTAATTTTTTTAAGACATTCCTTTTATTTTTAAGTGCTCAATTCTCGACTCCATTCCCGTTCGCTGGAGCTCGTAAATCTGGTGTGCTGCAGATTTAGAGACGTTTGACATTGTATCTTTGGGGAAGTTACGCCTGAACCTTAGCAACACACGGGGCGTATTCTTCTTTCAGAAAGAGTTTTACTTGCCTCGGCTAAAATCTTTCCATTTTTCAGTTGTAATTTATTTTAGTTCAATTGTAATTTTTTATTTTTAGATTATTTGTAAGAACTGAAAAATTACATATCAGTTCGTAGGATTCCTGTGTAATTTCACACCGAAATATCCAACAGGGTCAACCTCAAAAGCCGAATTGAACCTTTCCATCGCCAGTCAGACCAGCCTTTTAACCGCCGCTCACTTGCCAGTGAACTCCCAACCTCCACTTGCAGAAGAGAGACAAATTTCAGTCGCTGATGTCGCCTCACACAACCGGCGCCGACCTCGCCTTTCCCGATCCTATAATCGTCGAGCCATTTGAGATAGCAGATTGGACCTCAACGAGGTTGACTTCACACCACGACGGACCATCAAAGCCTCAGTGGGTGCCGACCTCACAAATGACAGGTCGGCCTCGCCACGACCGGTCACTCGATACCTCCTCCAAACACCGACGTCACCACCGAGCTTCACAGCTCTGTCCGGCGCCCGGCTACAGCCCGTGGCCGACCCAATTTCAGGCTAGCACCACACCGCAAACACCCGAGCCAACAAAACTTCGAGCTTAAAGCCACCGTACGGTCGCCCAATCACTCGTCGTCAGGCTCACTTCACAGTCGGCAGGACGACTCTACATATGCCTAACTTCCGCCGTTGGGAAGTAATCTTCGACCTTAAATCGCAGCCCGGGTTGACCACATAACTCGAATCTCAGGCTCAATCGAACACGCACCTTGACTCTCGGCTCCCTACCCGTGTTGACAGAAAAGCCGAGCAAAAAGATGGAGTAAAAACGCCGATCTGGAGTAGGACATCTGCCGCCGCTTTAATAATCGCTTCAGTTTTAGAATACACGTTAGGGATAGAAAAAGGCTCCTTTTTTACTTTCCAGGGAATTAGGAATGATTTGGGCCTGATACTATAAAATAAAGGAAAAGTCTAGAGAAACAACACTGTTTACAACTCAATTTACAACCTAATAATTACCAAATATTTTGGCAGAGATTTGGTTGCAAATTGATTAATATACCCTCATTTGATTTTATTTGATAATAGGGATATAAAATGAACTAGTGTTAAACCTGTGCGATGCACGGGAGAATATGGTTCAATAACAATTTTTTTAGTAAATTAATTAATTAATAAATCCATTATAAATAGATTGATTGTATGACCGGTGAAAGTGGTATTCACAAACTAATATTTTTGTACCAAGAGCACTGCATATAGTACAAAATAGAGTTTTTCATTTATTGGAACATATAACGACATGTGTGTTACTAATAGTTATTGACTTTTTTTATACTTATCACACATCAGTTAGGAAATCACAAGTGGTAACTGAAGCCACATGAATTTGAAAGGTAATTGCAGACAAAAAAGAGATAACATATCACAAATAGTTCAAAAAAGACAACATATTTTAATAAGCTATTAAATATTGAAATAAAAAAAAAAATCAGTAGAAGTGAACCTCATTATATTTAGATATTACTAAAAACTTCCTTATACACAACATTTTCAGTCTGAGTCTTAGAAGCTTGATCTCCACACACTAAGATTTTTAACCCACTACGATTAGTTACACGTGATACGGCCACATACAACTGTCCATGACTGAATACAGGATTTTTTAAAAACAGGCCGACATGTGTTAGCGACTGACCTTGACTCTTGTTTATAGTCATCGCATATGAAACCATAAGTGGAAACTGTCGCCGCTTGAACTTGAAAGGTATTCGTAGATCAGAAGGAGTGAGCGTCAGCCGTGGGATCAAGACCTTCTCCCCAGACTTGGCACCAGTAAGTATCTTACACTCGAGCACATGAGTAGATAGCTTTGTCACGACCAAACGTGTTCCATTACACAATCTCATGGAATGGTCAATGTTTCTTAGCAACATAACTGGAGTGCCTACTTTCAAGTGCAACGCATGGTTCGGTACACCGGAACATTTGATCGAGTTGAGAAATTCAGGCGCATGCAAATCATGCAAAAAATCAACATTAGAGTCAGATTTGCATGTACTATCTGAACTCAAATAAGTATGCCCATCTGACAAGTTCAATGATGTCATGTACTCATTAATAGTCTCGACAACATCAAGGGTAGGAGCCAATATTGCCCTATCCTTCAGATAACTCGGATCATCCATGCTGTCTTTATACATCGGAAAGGTGCTTTCCACAATAGTCGCGATCGGATCCTCAGAGCTCCTCAAAAGAAGATCTTCTGGAATGTCAATAGTCGCACAACCATCATTTGAATCACCTATTGTTCCGTCGCCAATACTTGCAATCCATTCAGAAAACTTTCTAAGCTCTTCACGTTCACTTGCCGAATTCTGATGCATTTATGGTTGCATTAACAATATCTTGACGACTGCCTTTAGGAACCACAGGCAATATTTGGCGAAAATCCCCACCAAAGACAACAGTTTTACCTCCAAATGACTTGAATGCATTAGATGGATGCACATACTGCATGACAGACTTCAAAGTTTTGTTGACAGCTTCAAAACAATACTTGTTCATCATTGGTGCTTCATCCCAAATGATTAGCCTGCATCTTATAATCAACTCGACAAGCGGACTGTCTTGGTCAATAGAGCAAGTCGAGCCCTCATGTGGATTTAATGGAATAGCAAAGCGTGAGTGGGCAGTTCGTCCACCGGGCAACAAAAGTGATGCAATACCACTCGATGCCACATTAAGCACAATATCACCCTGAGATCTAAACTTTGCTGAGAGTGTTCTCCAAACATAAGTCTTGCCCGTGCCTCCATACCCATAGACAAAGAACATACCACCTTTACCAGACTCCACGGATTTTACAATCTTCGAATATACATCTCTTTGTTCATCAGTCATGCTGGAAAGAAGATTGTTATGCTCTAAGGTAAGAGCGGCTCGATCGTAGCCCAACTCATCAAGTATAAGTCTATTTTGACCAGGGTCAATGGCTTCATCATCAGGAAAGGGCATGCCTTCACAATCTCGTAGACTTCTACCACATCGGCGCAATATTTTTTCAATTTCAGCAAGAGCGGCATTCTTGATTTCATCATGAGTCATGGTTAAATCTATTATGTATAAAAGCAAAATGTTACCAAACTATTTAACACATTAAAAGGATAACAACAATAATTATTGTATAAAAGCACTTAAACTAAATAATATAAAATCATATTTCCTTCCAAAAGAAAGCAAGAACAGCAAGAAAAAACTGGAATGATGCTGATATTTAAATAAAACTCAGTACTATAGCAGAAATGCATTTGCCTTTGAGATTTTTTTAGAGCTAGCTACTTTCTCTATCTAACAAATCACATTTCAAAATACATAAATAAAATAAATTAAATTCATCACGGTATATGTAGAAATATCCCATTTCACTCGCAAATTTCCAATAACTGGTCATGAAATTAATATTTTTACATATATCAACTCTCAGGTCCAATTAAACTAAAAAAAAATAAAAAATATTTTTCTACAATATTTGTCACTTTTGTCTAGCAGATACAAAAATAAAAATAAAAATAAGAAAGAAAAAACAAAATAAAAAAGATAGCAAATCACTTCTTGTAGCATTTGACTACTATTTTTCTTTTTTTATTTTTTCATTTTCTTTTTATTTTTTTTTTCTTTCCCTT